GACGATAGGATGCATGATTACACAAAGGTGAATTCCATTGAGAGAAATTTTCATAGATATTATTGAATTCTTTTGCAATACGTTGTTGCTTTGTTTCTTTATACATAATATAAGGTTTTCTAAAATATTGTTTTGTTTGATGCATAATGAGAACTGAAGAAGGTATAGAAACTATCAGGAATCCAATCATAAAAACCAATATGTGAAGGCAGCATGGGTTTACTATATATCGTCGACATTGATGATAACCAATCATTTCTTTTTGGTATGTAATTATTTATTACTTTTGACAGTTGGTAATATACAAGAAACTAGTGGAGTATGACAAACATGTGTTATATGTTTCGTTTAGTAATTACATATTTACGATGTACATTGAAAAATATTGAGATACAGACCTTGTATGGCAATACTATCTGATATTAATAAAAAAAGAAAGGATATGTAAAAGTTCAATTGAAGGTATTCTTTCTAATATATGAATCATAATAATTCATTCACTTTCTTATTGATTGTAGCTAATTATGTGAATTGAAGATATATACACGGCTCTCTTTCCATGAAAAAACTATTTGATTATCTGTGTATGTGTGACAGTTCTGTTTCAAAAAAAATTATACGGGGTATACTATTATTCATGGCTATTTATAGATATCTATAATTACTAACTTCTAATCTTTTCAATTTACTAAAAATATTATCGAAAAAATGAAGTAGATATCTTCTATATGATATCATAGAAATAGTTTTCTGACTAGTTCATTTGAATATTTTCGAAGGTTTATTGAATAATTCTTTTTCTAACTGAAGTTATAGTCAAAAGTAAGAGATGCCTTCATGACTGAATATCTATGTTATTCAACATGTATGCATAAACCTCATTACTTTTATTCATTGAATGATGTTAGACGAATTGCTAACAATTATTCGCTTCAGATACCATGTCCAATAACATATTAACTACATAATTGCATATACATGCTCTTATAGATGCAATGTGATTAACTAGTATGAAAACTATTATTCATTTTTCAGTGACATATCTATCTCGTTATCAATCTTTGTATTAGTTCATTGTATTCAAAAAGTTTTTTTCTTATTTGTTTTCCAGTTGGTCTATCGTATATGGTTGTATATTATTTCTATGAAGAGACAAGAGCAAATGTGCAGTCGTTATGACAATCGATGTATCGTCAGAAAAAAAAAGTAAAACAATATACGTATATATGAAGAAGTAGAAAAATTAATAAAGTAAAATATTTGTTTAACTTTTGTCATTGATGCTGAAAATATTTCAGTCACGCAGATTTGAAGAAAGTTGGAGTTTCACGATGAACTTCATTATAGCCTTGACACAATATCATTTAACATTCATTTGTCATAAATTTTCTTTTTCGCACGTATGTTCAGAGATGTTTAACAAAAGTACGAGAATCGAGTTGTATATCATGGGTATTATACTCATGTTTACAAAGATTATTATGCTAATGATTATTTTAGTCTTCATTTTTATGAACACTGTTCATTTCGAATCGAAAGTTTAGTGGAATTTTTTTTCTGACAATACATTAATTGTCGAAATTATTAATTATTTTCACATTTCTCCGCTATGAAATAATCATCAGAACATAAATCTGCAGACAGTAAATTGTGAATACAGTTTTTACAATTTATATTCAAATGTTTGTAATACAATAGCTACTAGCAAGTCTCTCTAACAAAGTTACAGATATATATCAGTGAATTTCTATTTCTAGATCCTATTCTTATAGCCTAGAGAAAAAATATAAGAAGTAAAACAATTCTTTATATTCGTCTCGAAATATGTCCACTAGAAAATTGAAAGGATCAAAACCTATCCTATAACATTATCTGAATCGATATCATCTAGAAGTTTAGAGTTACTTTGAGGTTTGTAGCAGATTGTAGAGAAGTATGATGGATTGTAAAATCATTTCATATTTTTGGAATCTATAATAAATATGAACCAAGAGATTGATAACATATTGATTTTGACATCAATTGTGGAAAAATACACAATGAGTGGTAATTTCTGTTAGAAAAAATGAACTGAACATTTTTTTAAAAGTCAACCCGAATGTAATTATGGAGTGAATTCAGTTGAATTTCAGAAATCTATTTTAGTATACAGAAATATGAAATGATATGTCTTCCATGGATGTCAATTTTGTCATCATTTATTCGGCTTTCAATAATTTCATGTTTATCTATTTTATATTTATCTTTCTTTTCGGTATTTGAGCTTGCATTTCTCTTGGATAATCCAGAATCACTGTATTAAAGGGTGATCTTTCCTGTGTCTAATCAGATAATGTCTGAACAACTGTGTTTTGCACTTGTTTCGATGATGAACCCATTCTATCTCTCCGCATACGGTGTTATTAATGTATCTTTACAAGGAAGAGAGTGAATTTATTTTTCTTTTCTGTAGTTTCTAAGTGGCATACAAATGCTGCTCTTCTAATTATAGACCAAATAAATTGCTTCAAGTCAAAGGTTTCATCTTTTTGTCTCTTTCGTTCTCGTTTTCATTTCATTCTATCTAAATTGAAGATAGAAAACTGATCGAGCTATTTTGCATATGTAATTCAACGTCAGTTTCATATACTCGATTAATCTAATTCAAACATTACTAAAAATTATCATGACTCCTCTTCGAACCTTTCCACTAATTGGTTTACTTATTGTTATAGTTACTGTTTTATCATCAATTATTGGTTTTTAACTGATTTAAATTCCTACGTAGTTAATGATTTAAAAAAAATTAATGTGCTATTCCAAAATAGGGGGGTGACTAGAAGCTATTAGTATGTATTACTTTCTTCAAATTGAATTGTCATTACTGTATTACTTTATACATATATCAATGCCAAATATGCTACAGAATACTCATTTACTCTCATGGCTATTGCACAATTTTTAAGTTTTTTTGCTACTATACTTGTTACTCATGGAATGGTAAATGCAAATAATTAGATGAAACCAAATGTTTGATTTTATCCGTTTTTCTTTTTTTATTCTAGGAACATTCATTCACTGTAATTACTTAAATGAATTACCAAAGAAAAAGAATTTAAACTGAATGCATTTTATTTGTAAATGCATAAACTTGAAATGATGATAGCTTATAATGAAATCCTATGTCTTTTTTTCTTAATTATTATATTTAATTCAGCTGCAATACATTTTCCTTTTTCTAAAATTGTATATGTGTTTGTGTATTGTTCTATTATTTAAAACAGAAAACTGTAAAAAATATTATCGGCAATGTTTTATTTCGAATAAAATGAATTTTATACGAGAAGAAAAGAAACTGATATTGATAAGAAAGAAAAGAAAAAACCTTGACGTAATAAAATAAATAAAATGACGATAGGCCTACTTTGAATAGTTTCAATTATCTATTTGCTCAACTTAATGCATTTTTCTTTCACGAAAAATGAATGCTTCTTTTGAAAAATGAGCTCAGCATGCACTGTAATTGTGGAGCGATGGCTGCTATTGTTCATTAGATAGAATGTCTTTCCTTTTAATGGCTAATTGGAAAATCTAATCATGTATTAGTATCTTCTAGAAAAAAAACTATTTGAGTACAATGAGAAAAGAATTTAGAAAAGCATGTGACAAAATTTTGCTTCTCAGATATAAAATTTTTCATCAATGCATTTTTTTAAGGAAGTTTATCATGTTTCATATTAAAATTCTCTACAAATTGAACACAAATCGTTGTAAATGAGCCTTACTTATTCGCAATCTTGAAATTCTGTGGCTACACGCTTTCCTAGAAGTTTGGCCGTTTACTGAACATAAAAACAATGAATTTTTAGAGTACTCCTATTAGAGCTGTCAGCAGACCTTGTGCGGTAACACTAAACATTATCGCTATGATTACGACATCAGAAGGAAAAGGAAAAAGAAACTTCCAAATTTTCTTAAAAAAAAAGTGAAATGTGACACAGCATATGAAATCATGATGCAATGACTCACTTTTTATCATGCTTTCGTTTTCTTGTGACGCTATATATAATCACAAATAGAAAAGAGAAGTGAAGCATTGAAGTGAAACGAAAAGGAGAAAACCAACTTGAATAAAAACAACATTCGACAAAAAAACATAGAAACATCACAAAAGAAAAGTCAATGATGTGATACAAACGCAAGCCATTTTTTTTTATTGACAAAACACGACGCATGCTATGGATAATAACGAACAGTCGACAACAACAATAACTGCTACCGCTGACGCTGCTGCTGGTACGACATCTGAATATACGAGCATAATGTTACGACGGCCTCCCTATAGTCGTATGGTTCAACACTTCCTATTGGTGTGGCTAGATACCAATATTGATAATATGAATAAGGACGATTGTACAGATAACATCAGCAAATTAAAAGAAGTGGTGTACACGATACATCGATTCACTGATGTGAATGAATGTATCGATTTCATAACCGACATTCAAGAAGAGGAAGTATTTATGATCTTTTCTGGTTACTTGGAACAAACAATAGCTTGTATTGTCCATGACATTCCGCAAATCAGTAATATTTATGTTTGGAATGAGGACTATACTGAGTATGAATCTTGGATCCAACAATTTCCAAAAATCAACGGTATATTTACACATATTGCCTTAATGTACAGAGCAATTCAACAAGCTGCATACAAATGTAACCAAAACTTGATACCGATCAGTTTTATCTATACTAGTAGTGAAATCAACAAGCGAAAGCTCGATCAACTAGACTCGTCGTTTATGTATACTCAAATAATGAAAGAAATTTTTTTAACCATTGATTTCAAACAAAACCATATTGATGAATTTATAAATTATTTTCGTCAGTTATTTGTCGACAATCCCAGAGAACTGCAAAGTATCGATAGAATTGAACGGGAATACCACGAACATGTCCCAATATGGTGGTATACATACAGTTGTTTTCTTTATCCAATTTTCAACCGATCATTAAAGATAATGGACGTCGACCTCATTATTAAGATGGGATTTTTCATCCGAGATCTTCACAACAACATCGCTGAGCTTCATGCTCAACAGTTTGCTGAACATGCGCCAATGAGTTCATTTACTGTTTATCGTGGTCAAGGTTTGTCACAGATACAGTTTGATCAAATGATCAAGACCAATGGTGGACTACTGTCATTTAATAATCCCTTGTCAACAAGTCTTGATCGAGAAATATCTCTTTCCTTTGCACAAAGTAATCAAATTGGTTCTGATCTTATAGGTGTTCTCTTTAAAATAAATGTCAATCCATCAGTATCGAGTACTCCTTTCGCAAACATTCGTGACATCAGTTACTTTGAAGGCGAAGAAGAAATTCTCTTCTCCATGCATTCGGTTTTTCGAATTGAAACAATGAAACAAATCAATGAGAATAATCGTCTTTGGCAAGTCGATTTAACGTTGACAAGTGACAACGATCCAGAACTCCATGAACTTACTGAAAGTATACGAAAAGATACTTGCTCTGATGCAGAAGGATGGGACCGTTTAGGCGTATTGCTGATTAAGCTTGGGCAGTTCAACAATGCTCAAGAGGTATATGACACGTTGTTAAATCAAACAACGACTTATCAAGAGAAAGCAGTCATTTATCATAGGCTCGGAGTGATAAAGAATAATCAGGGTGAATATACAGATGCCATGGCTTATTATCAACGTTCGATTGAAATCAATAAAGACGTTCTTTCATCAATGGATGCCAACTTGGCTCGTTCCTACAGCAATATGGGTTTGGTGTATGATAATATCGGTGACTATTCGAATGCACTTTCATATCATCAAAAAGCACTGGAAATCGAACAGAAAACTCTTCCATTAACACATCCAAGTTTAGCTACTTCTTACAATAACATTGGTTTACTGTATGGCAACATGGGTAACTTTGCGAATGCACTTTTATCTCACCAAAAAGCATTGGATATTCGTCATAAAATTCTTCCTTCAAATCATCCTGATTTGGCTACTTCCTACAACAGCATTGGTTTGGTGTATAATAGCATAGGTGACTATTCGAAAGCACTATTTTATCATCAAAAAGCAACAGATATTTGTCAAAGAACTCTTCCTTCAAATCATCCTGATTTGGCTACTTCTTATAACAACATCGGTTCGGTGCATGACAGCATGGGTGACTACTCGAATGCACTTTTATATCATCAAAAAGCGTTGGATCTTTGCCAAAAAACTCTTCCTTCAAATCATCCTGATTTGGCTACTTCTTACAATAACATCGGTTCGGTGTATAATAGCATGGGTGACTATTCGAATGCACTTTCGTCTTACCAAAAAGCATTGGATATGTGTCAAAAAACTCTTCCTTCAAATCATCCGAGTTTGGCTACTTCTTACAACAACATTGGTTCCGTGTATGACAGCATGGGTGACTATTCGAAAGCACTTTCATATCATCAAAAAGCATTGGCTATTCGCCGAGAAATTCTTCCTTCAAATCATCCTGATTTGGCTGCTTCTTATAAACACATTGAAATAGTGTCTTCTAAGAGTGAAGAACACGTGAAAGCTGTTTCATATCGTGAACAAATTCTTTAAATAATAGAAGATTTCCTAATTGCAAATCATCTGGATTTTCAATTATATAGCAATATTCTCGAATATGTAAAAAAAAGAATATGTAATTTTCTTTTCATTTGGCCAAACAAAGAAATGCCATAATAAGAAAAGAGTATCTCCTTTTTGTTTCCATTCGAAGAGATGCGAGCACAGGCATACAGAGAAACTATTCAGACGTATTAGTGGCAAAGCCATGAGACTTGTGTAGGCTAAAGCCTATCCTAGATTCAGGTATTGTCGGTTGGGATAGGCTCAAACATTTGTTTTTCATTTCCTCGAATAGATAAATTTCGATGGAAATTGAAATTTTTGTACAAAGGCGAACATTTTTCGGTGAGAAGTAGTTATCTCTTTTTAATACTCTAGGTATTATTAATTTATTATAGGTGTGAAAAAACTATACGAAAAATTCAAGCTAGATAGACTAAAAGCCATGTAAAGATTTCCTCGTCTTTGATGACGTAGCTTACATACCTAAAGTACATTTTCAACAAAATTAGTGAGCCTATATGACAATTCCATGTTTTTTGTTAGCACTGCTGTTTCATTATTTTCTTATATGTCACTAAAATAAATCGAAAACTTTTGCTTTCGAGAGTCGGAATCATGCAAAAACAAGTAATGGCGTGTTTTAATTAAATGTACATCTTCTGACAAAAGCTGCTATTTTTTTGTTGAATCGTACTAGCTTCATACTGCACAAAAATGTGAGCCAAATATAATAAACGCTTATTAGGGTGTGGGGGAGTGTGGGTATGCGATGTGGGTGTGTGGGTGCGGGTGCGGGTGCGGGTGCGGGTGCGGGTGCGGTTGGGTGTAGCTGAAGATAAGACTCACACTTGACACTCCATACCCACACCCACACCCTTCCTTCCCTAGCGGCGTCTCTGATTTTCTTCAAAGAAAGAATCTAAATAATTGGATTATTTTTATTTTGTATTCAAATAAATGAAAATGACTTGTTAAACAATATAAATATTAACAATAAATCCAATCGAGATGTTCCTTTGGTCTACATTTGATAGGACAAGGCATTTGAGTTCCATGAAACTTAACATTTGTTGCATTACTACAACATGGTCTTATACATCCAAGATAACAACCATTCATTGATCGTTGCGAAAGAAATGGTTGACCACCAAATTTCTCACAAAAGTAACTATCAAATATTAGAGAATTATCTTTAACATGACCTGCAACATAATTGATAAGAAATCTCTGATCACCTCTATCATGATAATTCTTAACTATTGATGGTATAAGCATTGGCTTGAAAATATTAACTAAAGTATGCCGAGCACGTATCAAAGCTGCACCCCAAAGACCACCTAATATAAATAATCCATGTTCAATATTATCACGAGCAATATAGAAAAAATTGTTTTCTTGTTCTTGTGATAGCCACATGTTGATTGTTTCTGTTTCACGTTGAGTTATTGGTGAATCAAGATCACGTGATAATAAATAATCAACATAGGGATCAAATATTGGTAAAAATCGCCACATTTTACCTGGTAAAAATTTATGTAAAGATGAACCAAACATAGGTATATTAGTCATATCACAAATATCAACACTTGAAAAATTATAAAAATATTCTTGTTGAGATTTTTTACTACCAGAAAAATCGATATAAAGACGTAAAATCCATTGTGGAAGTAATGTATTAATTTCATTAACAAGAAGTTCAAAAAATGGTATAATACTTGTTTCCCATGAATACATTTGATTATTAGTAAATTTCGATTCTTTTCCATAAACTGAAATAGCAATTACTTTTTGATGTGGTCCACGATGATGGGATGCATGACTACACAATGTTAAATTCCATTGAGAGATATTTCCATAGATTTTATTGAATAATTTTTGAATACGTCGACTTCGTCCGTCTAGAAAATTGATATCAGCTTTTTTAACATGTTGTTTTTCTTTTTGAATAAAGAAAAACAGAAAAGCTATAGAAACTACTAGAAATACGACTATAAAAATGAATATGGAAAGAAGACATTGATTTAGAATATATCGTCGATGTTGATGATAATTGATCATTCTTTTTAGTATGTACTCTTTACATGGTTATAGTATGTAAGAAACTAACGATGTGTGACAGGCATTTGTTGTGTACATTCGTTTAATAATTGCATCTTCATGGTGTATATTGAAATACAGACATTTCACAGTGATGTTATCTAATAATTAATGGAAAATTGACGACATTATGAAGCCTAATGAAGTTTATTTCTTTGAATATAGGACTCATCATTTTTTTATCGAGTTTTCTTAGTGATACCAAATAATGGTGTACATTGAAGATGTGCATCCTATGAGACATCTATTTGATTATCTATGTATTAGTAGTGCAGCAAGCAAAATAATGGCTATCCCTATGAAATAAAAATGTGACAGAGAATGCGACAAGAAGATTGTTTTATTCTGTCTATTTTAGGACACGTTCCTTCACCATACTCTGACTTAATCAACAACATCTGTCGCTCTAAGCGATATGTGAATGCATGGAAGTATGGTGAACACGTCAGTCACGGTCTGTTGATTTCATATTTCATGATATGTGAAGGTACGAAGTGCAAATTTGTACCTTACGTATTTCAACACTTATTTTAGAACGTTTTTTAAAATATAAGATGGAATATTATTCTTTACTTGTCATAGATATCTTCAAGAAAGAGATTTTATAACTTCACTAAAAATACTTTAAAAACAAATGGAATAAATACTTCCAAGTTGTTCGACACTTATGTTCAAATATCGGTATTACCACCTATACAATGATTCTCGATGAATTACTACCGGTGTTTTTGTTCTAAATTACCTGTTCGATAACACGTTGACTACATCAGTGAATACAGTTATTCATGTATGCACAATGTGATCAGTTATTGTAAAAATAAATATTAATTTTCTAGTGACACATCTATCTTGTTGCCAATCTTTATATTATTACTTCATTATATTCTATAATTTTTCACGCATTTGACTTTCGTTCTATCATATTTCAACAAATTAACTTTTAATAAATGATATTCAAATATTTATAAAGCACACTAGATATGTTCATTAATACGATGAAATAAATCTTATAAAGAAAAATTTTTAATTTGATTTCACCTAATTTGTTTTCTGTCTTTACATAATTTAATGAGGTTGAATACATATCAAAATAAGTATCTATAAGTTTACTTGAATGGTTTCTTTGATGTAAGTTATATCGTTACACATCTGCTTTTTTTTCTTTATATTCAAATGTTTATTGAATTGAAACTTTTGAATAAAGTTCGACTTGATTATTCAAATTTTGATCATTAAAAAACAAAAAGGATTAAACAACTCAAGTAAACAAAAAAAAAAAAAAAAGAGTTATATAATTCGATGTGAATGTTTTCATTAGAGAGAACTCTTGTTCTTTTCTTTATTTAACCATCACATTTATTTGCTTGTCCATTGAATAACTATGTTGGCAAGCAATTGTTAGTGCTTCCTACATGTATATCATACACTTCATATATAATTATAATTCTTTCATTTATATTGATTCAATGAACGGGTAAGTTGCAGGTTGATGAACTATTTGATATTCACTTTCTCTTTCTTTCCGTCTTTTTCTTTTCGTTTGTATATTGTTTGTTGCTATCGATTGTTGTCTAAAAAAAAAAAAAGTAAAAGTAAAGGTCATTGATATTGATCTAATGCTCTTGTTCTCTTTGTCATCCATTGTTCATTTTCATTCAAATAAGTAAATCAGTCGATTTTTTTTTTATTATTCAATCTTTGTCTTTTCAATTATATATTCAATTCAATATAGTTAATAATAATGCATTGGATATCTTTGATCGGTTTTTTTATTATTATTACTATCATCTATCAAATACAAGCTGATTTATTAAAAGATTCTGAAACAGAAACTATCAATACAGAAGGTACATTTCAAGTGGAACTAGATATTGATAATACTGAAACTTCTGTATCAAAAAATAATGTCGATGGTTCAACTCATGAAACTACTAGTGATGTATCATTTGAAAATTCTGTGACATATGAGACAGATGAACGAAATTCATTGAAAAATGTAATTAATAATGGTAATAATAATTACGGTTATAATTATGTATGTTTTATCATTACTACTCTTATCTTACTAGCTCATTTTTAAAGACAAATATAATTCTTCTTTATTGTTGTGCATTTAATAGATTTGTATTAGTTTGTGTAGAAATTTAAACTTTAGTTATATGAATTGTGATAATTAATAAAATATGCTAAGAAAACACTTTAATCTTTTATTATAATATTTAAAATCACTCAAGAATAATATTGATGAGGAAATATTTTTGTTTCAAGTTTTTACATAATGTTTTGATTATAAAAAAGAGAAATGACGAGAGAAGTTCTCCAACTGTTCAATAGCTTTTAAGTCGAGATTATGTACACACCGTTTGAGGTCATATTGGACCTATAGGCAAGTCTCAATGAGAATAACAACAGTTTATAAAAGTTCGTCCATCTTGACCTTTGACACTACATTATCACTGATTGACTTGGCTTTTGAACCATTTTTATGTACTTTGCGGAACATCGAATAATGGCGTTTTGATTCAAGATTTTGACTATGAATAAGTTTAATGACTTTTATAATACCATAGATATTTCAGCCGAAAAAAATGTTTCATTGTTGAATTAGATTTTTGTGATATAGCTATGGCAAAAGACTATTTTTGGAAATTCAATATCTTATAAAGACATTAGACTTTTATGTTATTTTTTAAATAAATGATGTAAGGCAGAATAGCTCATTTTCGAGTGTCCACTTGAAACTGCGTAAAGACAAACATTAACGAGATTAGTTCTATTATGAATGTTTCAGGTCTTCTTGCTGTTCCTATCCTAAGATACAACTATAGTAACAGCGTGTCGTTTATATTACACATATACATCAGCAAATTCGAAATTCTCATTTCAGGACA